TCTTGAGGGTGTCCTGAACTTCAAACATCATTTTTGTCGCTCCAGACTGTTCCTGGCCTTTTCTGTGGTAACTCTGATGGTAGACAGTACCTTTGGCATTAACCCTGCTCTTCCCCAGCCCGGACAAGCAGAACACGTACCACCTCCAAGACCAACCTGCTAGAAGCAGCTTTGGGGCTGTGGAAGGGTTGTTCCAGCTGCCTTCCTGGACCTGATCATCACCTCTGTTATAGGGCTGTAGGAACAGCTGCTGCTTGGTTCATGTTTAATCAATTGACAGTTCATAGATTGAGTCAGTATTGGTTTTATTTTTTATTCGTTTTAAAGATTTGTTTATTTATTTTGTATACAGTGTTCTGCCTGCAGGCTAGAAGAGGGCACCAGATCTTATCACAGATGGTTGTGAGCCACCATGTGGTTGCTGGGAATTGAACTCAGGGCCTCTGGAAGAAGAGCCAGTGCTATTAACTGCTGAGCCATCTCTCCAGCCCCAGTATTGGTTTTAAAGAGTAAAGACAGGCATGGCTGTGAGAAACGCCCCACCCTATCACTGCTTTATTTAACCTTGTCTGAGAATCCCTAGAAGTACATGATGGATAGGCCAGGGGAACCTGGGTCATCAGCTCCCCTATTCTGTCATCAGCGCCCACTGGAAATGAATCCCTCTGGGGAAGAGTTGTGCTGGTTTTGTGGCACCCACTTTGTTGTTCTTAGGAATATAGGCTGAGTCCCCTGTGGTTGGAGTTATTGTCCTCATAGAACATCACAGCACTTCAGCAGCAGGTCAGAAGGAAGGAGCCATTGCTAACTGTCCGATTCCTGCTGCTCTGTGGAGCAAAGGTCACAGGACTGGACCGAGGCAAACTTGGATTGCCATGTCTGCATTGCTCTTGGATGGCTGGGTCACCAACCTGGACTTCAGTTTCTTCTGTAAAATGGGGTGTAGTGGTTCACAGCAGCTGCTGCCATCAAGGACCACAGACCGAGGGGCTTAAACAATGGAGCTTGGTTTGACCATGGGATGGTGTTCTGGAAGCTGGGGCAAGGTTGTGTCTGATCCTTAATCTATTGTCCTTATATAGACACAAGTCCTGATGCATTCCCTACACCCCCATACAATCTCATCTCCCCTCAATTACCTGCATAAAGGCTCTGCTGCCAATACAGTCATGTCCCGGGGTACTAAGGGTTGAGACTTCAAAACATTAATTGGAGAGGGCACCACAGTTCAGCTGCCACGGAGGGGAGGCAAGGAGCCCAGCAGGCAGCTTTCTGCTACCACTCTGGTTATTAATGCCCACGTCTTTGGAAGGCTCCAGAAGCTGGTGTGGCCAAAGGGCTTGCTCCGAGATCATTCCCAAATGCCAGCACTTCTGGTAACAAGGCAGAGGCTGTCCCAGGAACACAGGGTGGCTGGTCTAGATGCAACAGGTACTTGGCTCCCTGCCCTCTTCTGCCTGAGCTGCAGAACTTCTCTTCAGCCTTGACTGCAGCATCGCCCGTGGAGGTGATGGTCTCCACACTCCTCTGCTGCTGGGAGGAAAGCCCACCCGAGACCACGACATGGACACTCTTAAAGGCCAAAAGAAACTCTTTGTTGCTGCTCGGGGCATTTGCCCAAATCATACAGCTTTGAGCCTTACAGCTCTTCATCTCTTATGCACAAAGCCACATCCTGGTTGTCACACTTCAGTTAGCAAGAAGCAGAACTTCGGAAGCCAAAAGACACTGTTAGAACATTTGGAGGAATTTCTGGAACTGTGGACTAGGTTGTTGATGGATTAGGTCTTTGTTCCCATTCTGGCTGGTGTTAGGGCCTGCGTGCTGGGTTCTAAGGTCAGAATGTGGCTTCTAATCTGGCCTCAGTTGTGCTAAGGTCTGGGGACCACTTAGACTTCTCCTGCCACGTTCCCTAACACCATCATCCAAACCTGGAATTCTACTCAAGTCTGAAACTAATAACCAATCAGACCAAAGCTCATTTTGTGGTTTGTGACTGAAAGTAAACTACGAAGTGGGAAGTGTTTTCTAAACCTTGCTGGGTCTGAGGCGGATCTTGCTGGGCTCTGCCGACACACCCTGGATGCTCCCAATACCCACTGCACTCTGTCACCGTCCGCTCCAAGCGGAAGTGAATGAAATGGGAACATGACCGTGACCTGGGCAGCTGCTGTCACTCTGTGGAGGTGGAGAGGCTGAGGCAAAGAGCTGTGCTCTCTGCCGAGTCTCCCCGCTGGCCGGGGGTGGGGCAGGATGGTTCTGGCAGTTTGCTCAGAGCGCTGAGGAGTCCAGACCTCAGCCCAGTACAGGTGTCTCTGCGGATGACGAAACAGAGGTCGTGGTTGCGACGCGCTTCCTGACCAGCAGGAATGAACGCCACGAAAACGAGATTCCTTCCCTATCACGTCTTTATTCGGAGCACTCGATTGAGGAAAATTGGGGGAAGGGAAGAGAGAGAAAAGACAGAGAAAGGGAGAGCAAGGGAGAGAGGAAGAGAGAGTGCAGGGACGAGAGAAAGATTAGAGAGAGCTTAGAGAGAGAAAGATGAGAGAGCACAGGGACAAGAGAAAGATTAGCCAGAGAGGAAGCAGAGCCCAGAGGCAGCTGCTTTTCTAGGATGAAAGGCTCGAATGCTGATTGGTTGATGCCATTCTGCTAGGGCCCAAGGCCACAGGACAGGTCAGGGAACCACATCTCTGAAATGCAAAACAAGGCTCCAAGCACACTGGCCTGGATGGCAGCATCAAAGGATTTGTATACCTCCAGGCTGTAGGACTGCTGGCACTATCTCGCCAAGGCGACATCCTGGCGGCTCCCTACACGTGGTGTCAATGGTCAGGTCACCTTCTGCTGTGACAAACACTTGACAGAGCCACTTAAGGATGGGAAGGTTTGTTTTGGTCAGAGTTTGTGCCATGCACCCTCGCAAGGAAGCCATGGCAGCGGGAGCGTGAGGCAGCTGTTCTCCTTGCACTTGCAGTCAGGAAGCTGAGAGATGAGTGTTGGCCCTCAGCCCGCATTCTCCTTCTTATTCTGCTCAGGACCCCGTAGATGGATGGGCTACCTGCAGTCCTAACACTGATGGACAGCTGGTCAGGATCCGGAATCACCTAGGAGGCACAATCCCTGGTCACAAGGGATGATGAGATTAACTGATGTGGGGGAGATAAGGGCCTGAATGAGCAAGACAAATGGGTGATGGACCGTGCTCTAGGTTTCTCCCTAGCCTGTCTGGCCAAGCCCAGCGTGTCTTATTTCTTGCTCACGTGGAAGTCCAGCTTCAGAATGCTGTCGGGGGCAAGGAGGAGGCTTGGGGGTTGTTGTGGCTGCTTGACTGTGGAATGTCCCCCTACTTGGTCACCAGCGGGTGGTGCTGTTTGGAGGAGCATGTGGGCCCTTGAGCAGAGTGGAGGGAGTGGATCCCTGGCAGGGTCACAGTCCGCTGTGACAGTGTCCTACCCCAAGTCCTTTGGTTCCTATCTGCCATTTGCCTTGTGACCTTATATTCCGGGCTATAGCACTGGTTCCGTCCCTACTCTCATGGCTTCTCTTCCACAACAGACCATAAGCCTCTCTTTTGCGCCCTGGATATTTTGTCACAGTGACAAGAACAGCAACACAAATCTCAAAGCAAAGAACAGCGAGTTATACCACAGCAAAGTTGCTCCTTGGATAACTGATCCTCCTTCGGTTCTTCTGGTGGTAGCAAAGAAAGTCTGTCCCAGTCTTGAACTCCATGCCATTCCTGGGTGATTGCCAGTTTTACACAAGATCACCATTACCCTGGAACCCAGCGGCAGCGGTACCTGGCTGGACGCGAATACTTCTCTTTTGCTTCTACTATAATTGGTTCCCTTTGATATGCAGTGAGTGATAATGTTTCTGCATTTGGGGAACTGATATCAAGTGCCTTTAAAAAGTGTTCAAGAGGGGCTGACTGGTGGCAGTGCACATCTTTAATCCCAGCACTCCCCAGGCAGAGGCAGGCAGATCTCTATGAGTTCAAGTCCAGCCTGGTCTACAGAGCGAGTTCCAGGACAGTCAAAGATACACAGAGAAACTCTGTCTCTAAAAACAAAACAAAAACAAAAACAAAACAAACGTTCAAGAGAGGAAAGGGAAAAAAATTCTTGTGCCAATTCACAGGGCTTTGCTTTGGGAGAATTATCTAGAAAAGAGAAGTTCAAATTGGAATACTCACCACAAGACTGAAGTCTGGGGGCAAGAGTTTGGTGCCATGGCTCTTGCTGGTGGATCCTGGGTTGCTTTTGTGGGGTCTAGATGCAAACCTAGGTTAAGACACTCCTCTCAGCCCGAGGGCACCTGATCCCAAGTGGGCTTTCTCACAGCATCGGTCCTGGATTTGGTGTTACTAACCTTACTCTGAAAATCTCTGTTCTTGAAGCAAGGCAGTGAGTCAGCAGTCCCAGTCAGCACCTTGGTGTGATTTGCCTGTGTGGCGATTGCTCTGTGGATGGGGTACAGGCTTGGCTCCTCTTTAAAGGGTCCTGAGGCTGGTCAGTGGGTCCTGTGCCCAGATCAGCAACTGGAATGTGCGCTTTTGACCTTGCACACAGTGTGCGGATTCATTCCCAGTGGCTATCCGGGAACCCCGGTCAAGTTTGCTGTAAGTGGGGGTGAGCATTTAGACTGCCATCTTCCAGCTCCGTTCCCTGGTAGCAGCCGCTCTGGCCACTCAGCAGCTGCTCAGACATGGCAGCTTCTCCCTTCTACCACCCTCCCTTTCTCTCGCAGTGCCTAAATCATCTTTTACGTCGGTGATTTTAGCGCGTATCAGAGTCCCGCTACTTCTCTACTCTATCGTCTACTACCATTTCTTATGGATGTGTCAGATTCTTTTCTTACTTTGAAATACAAGAGGAGACAAAAAGGAAGTAACAAGGCTACTGATTAAGAAACGAACCACTTCTGTTCCAGAAGTCCGTTCCCTTTAATCCTGTGAGCCACTGCTCACGATACGATTTCTTAACAGGAAACACCTGTATGGATTATTTCGCTACAATCCCATGATGCTTGGACTGGAATCCCTCCCAGACCCCATGGACACCTGGGAGATTATAGAAACCATTGGCAAAGGCACTTACGGCAAGGTCTACAAGGTAGCCAACAAGAGAGACGGGAGTCTGGCGGCTGTGAAGATCCTGGACCCCGTGAGTGTGAGTAACGGAGGGAACTGTACCCACGTCTGGTGTGTCAGACGCACTGAGTCGGCCATTTTTTTCTCCTGATTTTTGGGATAATTTTCATGAACGCTGACAGGAAATCTCAAAACGAATACTGGTTTGTCAGCATCTCTGAAGGAAAGAATTGGCTTGGAGTTAAAACTGCGCTGGACTTGCTGGGTGTGGCCGAGGATGTCTTTAACTCCAGCACATGGCGGGGTAGGGGAGTAGAGGATGGAGGGGTGGACTGGGGTTTGCGGGGTCACAGAGGCAGGCAGAGAGGTCAGCCTGGTCTACAAAGCAAGTTCGAGGTCAGCCAGGGTTACACCAAGACACCATATCTCAAAAAACCCAAAACAAACTAACAAAACAAAAACAAAGCTTCCCCAGACTATGGTGTCTTGCCTATTTTATTGTTATTTTGGCTTTAATGTCTTGGACTGTTAGAAATTATTCTTTTGGGGAAAATACTGTATTTCACTCCCTGTTCCTTCTAAGTCACAAAATGAGCCAGCCTCACGATATTCAATCATCTGAGGTGACATTTTCTCTCAAAACGCTGTGGTTACAATGCTCTGCTCTGCACAGTGAAGTTGTGTCTTGCGTGGGCCCCTTCAATCTTTGAAATCCAGATATTTTTTAATAAAAAGTTATTTACAATAATACAGTTAAGGAAAAATGTTAACATAAAGGAAAGTTATTGCTTAAAATAATCAAAAGGTTGGGAATGGGATCAGTGCAGCGGCTCTTAGCTCTTTTTCATATCTGACAAGGGTGACCTTAATATAAGTAGCGTCTAATATGGTGGTGCACACTTGTAATTCCAGTCCTTGGGAGGTGCAGGTCTTGAGTGGGGGGGGCGGTTTTGAGTTGGAGGTCAGCATAGGGAGCGCAGTGTGTATTAGGTCATCCTGGGCTCCATAGTGAGATCATGTTTCGAAAAATCCCAAATCCATGATCAATGTGCTTTATTAACTGATGACCTCAGCACAATGTCCTTTCTGCACCTTTCCGTACATACCCGTCTAAACTAAGCATGGATTTGCCGTGATGTCTTGTTTGTGCTTTCACAAATACAGCTTGCCTGACGATCAGAGGGCAGAGCTAAGCCACTAGCTAGCCATAGAGGCCTGGCAGTGGTGGTGTACACCTTTAATCCTAGCACTTAGGAGGCAAAGGCAGATGGGTCTCTGTGAGTTCAAGGCCACCCTGGGCTACACGTGATTGATCCCATCTCAAACAGAAACACAGTCAGGCAGTGGTGGCTCACACCTTTAATCCCAATACTTGGGAGTTACACACCTTTAATCCCAGCACTAGGGAGGTGGAGACAGTAGTGATATGGCTGGGTGGAGAGAGGAATATAAGGCAGGAGACAGGAGCTCAGTGTATTCAATCTGAGAATTCATGGAGACAGGGTCTTGCCCACTTTGGTCTGAAGATTTGGTAGAGGTGAAAGGTCTCTCTAGTGACTGACTCTTTTACTTCTCTGATCTTTCAGCATTTACCCCAATATCCGACTCTGGGTTTTTATTATTAAGACCTATTAGAAATCACACTACATGCATTTTTTAACCCTTTTAGGATATGGATGAAGAGATCGAGGCTGAATACAACATTCTGCGGTTTCTCCCTAACCACCCCAATGTGGTGCAGTTTTATGGGATGTTTTACAGAGTGGATCGTTGCGTCGGAGGACAGCTGTGGCTGGTCCTGGAGGTGAGAGGCTCCTGTTGCCTATCCTCTGCGTGGAAGTGAGCGCTGAGTGCTGGGGCAAGCGGGTACTTTGTGGGCCAGTGTGTTTGCAGGTGTGCAGTGGAGGAGTAGACCCCCTCCTGTGCACCAGGTACCTGACCAGCTGTGAGACATTGCAGTCTGTACAGCAAGGTGTGTGGATGAGGTTTCTTCTTCAGCTCCTTCAAAAGACGTAAACCCTCCTTTCTTCTAACACAGAGTGGATCTAGGAATCCAGTCGGGAAATATTACTGTGTTCTACAAATTGGAAACATTTCATAGAATTCATGTTCTAACTTAGTATGCCCCCCTTTGGAACTCGGCCTATGATGCAGTTGGCCTGCACCGTTTGTATCTGCCTGTTCATGTTCACTGGCTCCAGAAAACTGAGTCTGAGAGTTGTGCCTGGAAGGTTTGTTAGGGAGTGCTCGTCAGAGACTAGCGGAGAGAGAGGTGAGGGAGCGAGGAAGGCCATGGGGCAAGGAGAGGTTAAACAGCAGTGAGACTGTGATCGTGGTCTCAGCTAATTCTCTAGTGAAATGGACAACAAGGAGTTTGCTCATAGCTGCGCCTCTGCCCTCCTGCAGCGGCTGTGGTGGTGGGCCATTCCTAGCGAAAGGTGCCAGGGAGGAGGGGACAGTAGACATTCCCAGGAGAACCAGCTGTGCAGAGGGGACCTAAAGAGAATGTAACATGTCCCTCTGTCCCTCCTTCTCCTGTTTTTTAATGGGAACGAATGACATCTGGGCCAGGAGACTGAGTCCCCTACATTACACTCCCCACAAGACTGACGAGAGCTAGGACAACAGGACAGGCCATTTCCTTCGTTCTCATAGGACCCACTCTGATTTGTCTTGGACCCAGCCCCTCTGAACTAGCTCACCCCTCCCTGCCTCTGGTCGCCAGGATGATCCAGGAGCATGGGGACACACGTGGACACCTTAAAGGAGCCCAAGAACCACCTTCCCTTCACCGACTGGGGTCTCTTATCCTAGTCCTCTTGGATCTGGGAACCCCAAGAATGAGGCAACATGTACTGGCTGCCATGGCAACCATGGATGGAGAATTCATTATTGCATCCAAGTGTGATAATCTGCAGGAAGCTTCTCTCAATATTTCTGCCACATCAGCTACCTTCCTCACCATCTAGCAATGCAGGGGCTTTGGGTTTCTGTGACCCACCTTTGAGATGTTAGTTGGCGTGTTAAATCACGTACATTCTCCCATCAGCTTTTGGGTTTCATTAACCACCTGCCCTTCACCCCCACCCTGAGAAGGTTAGGGTTTCTAATCTTGTCGCAAAGCTGTGTAACCCCGAGGCTTTGCTCAGGGATGACGTTATTTCTTGAGTCTCTGTCTTCTTTTTTAGCTCTCTGTAAGAGCTCTGCCCCTCGCTGTAACTCCATCGTGGAAATACAGTGACCAAGAAATCTCCTTTTTGACTCATTCCCTTCTCTGCACACCCCACCTTACTCTGAACATCTCTGTGCTCATAGAGAACTGGAGCCTTCGGGGTGTCTTTAAGGCTTGTCAAGGGTCTGCTCCTTGTGCTGCTGGGCGAGCAGGAAGCTGCTCATGCTAAAGGTGCTTATGAGGCAATGCTCTTCCTGATCAGGTCAGATGGCAGACATGGGGCCTCGTGTGCACCCAGCACAGCCAGGGAAGCAGTGAAGAACGGGGAGGAATCAGGCTGTGACCTGAGCCATGTACTGATGCTCCCCGGCCAAATATCCTCTGACTTTTCCTCCTTGACCAGGGGCAGGTAACAAGGCCACTCTGAGACACCGAGAGACTTATCCCTCAGCATGCAATGTGCTGGCATTTATCATTTTGCTGGTGGTTTTGCCAAAGCTACCTTCTTTAGCCCAGCATGGGCTATCTATAGCAGGCTACTAGGTAGCCGGATGTGTCCAATGCCCACAAAAGTCTAAGAAACACAAGCATTGCTAGACTTCTGACAGTGACAGAAGTCCTTGTTTTCTTTAGTTTTGGTCTCTTGGTTTTCCAGACAGTGAGAGGGTTAGAGAGGGGGGAACAACATGACCACGACCAGTGACATCGCAGGCTTGAATGATATGAGTCAGCCTGCTCTCCTTCACTATAAGCAAATGTCTGAGATAAAGCAACTTTCAAGAGGAAAGGCCTGTTTGGACTCATGACTGGAGAGGTTTCTATCTGGTGGCTTTGGGGCCCGGGAAGAATGAACACATCATGATGGGCACAAACTGAAAAGGAAATGGTTTGCTTCATGGTGGCTTGGAAGCAAATCAGGGAGGAAAAGAGAAGCCAGCATCCTGACATCCTATCAAAGGCAGAGCTCCAATGACTTGACTCCTCCCACTGAGCCTCACACAGTAAAGGTACCACCACCTCCTAATAGCACCATGTGCCGCTGGTCAGAGCTTTAGCCCATGACCTTTGGGGACACTGACTGGGATGTCGGCACTCTTGCCCCATCACAGAGCTGGGTGATGGCCGACCTCAATGTGTCCCCATGGTTCTGCTCTACCTATGACTTTTAAAGGTCTGCTTTAGGAGACTTACAATAAAATTATGATGTGTTTAGAATTGTTCTTCTCATTCATTACACTGATTAAGAATTAGGATTAAGTTTAGATTATCTTTGCACTTCGCCTGCTGAATGTGATGAGAGGGCCAGGGAGCAGCTATTCAACAGGATAATTTTAAAAGGTAGAAAGAGGTTATTAATAAGCTCCTCAAATCAACACAACTCTAGAAACAAAAGCAAATAAAATGTCAGTTCTGCAATTTATTACCGATTTGTTAGTTGAAAACAAACAAAACTCCTTTCTTTATAGACACCTACAGCATTAGGAGGGCATGTAGGGAGGAGCATTCTCATGCATAATGTGTTTGACAATGTGAATTTGTTTTAAGTAAGTATTAAATTTTAAAAAAATCCATGTCTCATTTGATCTTACCCAAATAAGATGTAATACAAAATTAGACCTTTGAGAGCAGCCTGGTACTCAGAATTGGCATCGAATATGTACTTAGGCCCACTTTCTTTCTCTACTGTTAGTACCAAAACCTCGACAGGTAGAAACCAATCATTTCAGTGTGATCAAATGCTCAACTTCTGAAAAATAGTCTGGAGTGCCATGAAAAGGCTATAAATAAAAAAATCAAAGTGAAAGAAACCAAAAACTTTGCTTTTAAATTAATTAAAACAATTGCCTTTAATAATATTCTCTTTCCCTACCCTGACTAGAGATCAAAGTGTAAATTCAGAGTCTGCAGAGTTAAACCAAGAGAAAGTAAGAAGAAAGGGAAGAAGGAGGAGAGGAGGAAGGAAGGTTGGGGAGCATATACTCTATTGGGATCTTACTAGAAGTCCAGTCTAATCCCAAATGGCCCTGGATGTATCAAACAGCAAGCCATTTTCACCCATTGACATCGCAGCATAAACTAAGTTTGTCATATTGAGGATAAGGATCTGTACAATATGCCAATGGAGGAGAAGGTTGGTAGGATGGCATTGGCCCTAGGATGCTGATGGAGGAGAAGGTTGGTAGGATGGCATTGGCCCTAGGATGCTGATGCAGGAGTAGGTTGGTAGGATGGCATTGGCCCTAGGTGCTGATGGAGGAGAAGGTTGGTAGGATGGCATTTGCCTCAGGATGCTGATGGAGGAGAAGGTTGGTAGGATGGTGTTGGTCTTAGGATGTTGATGGAGGAGAAGAATTTGTAGGATAGTGTTGGCCCTAGGATACTGATGGAGGAGAAGTTGGTAAAATGGCGTTGTGTAACATGAGAGGGCCCTGCTTGTCTGTGTAACAATGAGGGGCCTGTTTATTGGGGGTTTTTCTGTCCTGCCCGGTCCCCCAGCTGTTTAGTCCCAAAGAAAATAACACACAGGACTTTATAAGTTATAATGCTGATTGGCCCATTAGGTCAGGCTTCTTACTGGCTAACTCTCACATCTTGATTAACCCATTTTTCTGATCTATTTTAGCCATGTGGCTCAGTATTTTTTTCAGTGGGGCAGCTCTGCAGCTTCGGTGATCTGGGCAGGAGTGGGAGGAATCAACTTCCTCCTCCCCAGAATTCTCCTGCTCTCCTTGCCTCATGTCCACTTCCTGTCTGGTTTTCCCGCCTACACCTCCTGCCTGGCCTATCAGCGTTTTATTTAAAACATGATTGACAGAATACAGACAATTCAGGGGGAAATGGTGCGGGAGAATTGTCTGTATTCTGTCAATCAGCGTTTTATTTAAAACATGATTGACAGAATACAGACAATTCTCCCGCACCAGCATTGGTCCAAATACTGAACACTGTAGCCTGCTCTAGAGAGTCTAGAGTGCAATGAGGGGATGCTTCAGTCAGATGAAGGACAGCAAGCTTCTGACAGGAGAAGGGAAGAGCTATGAAGGTCAGTTCATAGCGGCATCTACAGACTGGTGTTATCTGTGTTAAGCACAAGAGAATAAGAAACAGTTGGTGGGGGTGATCCTTCCCACCACACTTAAACACCCAGGGAAGACTGAGCTGGGAGCTGGGAGCCGGGAGCCTCCAGTTCATACACCTCTCAAAGAGTGAACCTCTCCCCGCTGGATATAAAGTTCCCGGGTCCCAAGGGATGCAGTTTTCATTTGTGTAGTTGCAAGTCAAGTAAAGATTCAGTAAAGATTATCTGTCCCAACTTGAGTGGAAAACTGAGCTGGACTGCCGAGAGGCAGACGGAGAGACCGACATGATGCTTCCTACGGGTCTCAAGTAGTTTTGACGCTCTATGTAGAATCTCATACTCTTGAAAGATCTTGACAAGGCTATGGAAGAAATTCTTCTTACCTCTGCCACCTTATGGCATCAAATCAATACACTGGTATAGGAGACACTTGACACTTGGAGCTGAGGCTAGAACAGAGGTCTGGAAACTGTGTTGCCTGGACCACTCCTTAATAGCATAGAGGAAAGTTGAAGGCTTATTGAGTAAAGAACATTTCATTGCTTGAAGTTATGGCTGTCCCGGTGAATGCACATACTGTGATTGAGTCAATAGTCAATGATGTTTTGAAAATGAGATATGAAATGTAAATTCTTTCTGTTATTTTTCTTAGTTTGGAGCAAAATGCTCATTAAATTCTAGATGCATCCAGCTGCCTTATTTCCTGAGTGCTAAGGGCATAGGGAGGAACTGAGGAGTGAAGGCACACCCCTGCATTTGAATCTGACGGCTGGCAGAGAGGGTGGGAAGGATGGGCTTACATGCCAACCCTCGGGACTGAGGCAGGAGGCTTGTGTGTCTTTTGACAGCTCTAGGGGGATTATTTTATTTAATTCATTTGAGTATGATTTCTTGCTTTGCTTTTAAAAGGCTCGGTCCATTTCACTCTGGACAATTATCAGTGTGTAGCTGCTCTCTCTCCCTTTATATCTAACTTAGCACAGTCTTTCTCTGTAACCCACAGGCTACCCCTTTAAAGCCTTGCTAGGAAACTTATCAGCTTCACAGGACAGCTTCCTTCTGTATATCCTGCATAGTTTAATTACATTTCTGTGAATTCTGGAGAGCCAGACAGCTTTTAGCTATGACATTTACTGAACAAAAGGCACCGGCTGAGTAAGATCTCTTTGTGGTTTTTGTTTTTTTAAATTCACAGCTGAATTTTGATCCCGCTGACAAATTGCTACTTTTAATCCCTTCCTAAGTTCTGAAGCGATGAAGAAAGGTCCCAAGTTTGCTCCCTGCTGAAGAGGCCCTTGTCACACTGTTGGCCTTACTCAGAAAGAGACTAGCAAGAGTCTCCAGGTGAACTTTCCAACACTGTGGTAGCTTGGGTTAACACTGAGCATTTAAATGTCCTCTTGGTAGGATTTCAGCATTCCCCCTTCAACAGGAGAAAGCAGATGACCCCCTGAGATGGGAACCCAGCTGGGGAATAGTCCAGACGGAGCTTCTTCATACTTTGCATCCAGAGGAGCAGAGAACTTCACCGGTACTTTCTTTCCTCTGCTTGTATCTGTGACAGTGCCTTTACTTTCCACATGGAGGTACCCAGAAACTCCCTTTGATTCTAGGTCAGAAGCACCACATGACCTGACTTAAGACCCTGCGCCCCCCCCCCCCGGCAATTGTTGTTTGTGTATGTGGTGTGTATGTGAGCATCGGTTCATGTGTGTGCACATATGTTTGGAAGTTAGAAGTCAGTATCTTTCTCCGTAGCTCTCCATCTTATTCTTTGAGACAGGATCTGTCACTGAGCCCAGAGCTTACCAGTTCTCTAGGGATCCACCTGCCTCTGATCTCCCCAATACTGACTGGGGTCACAGATATGCACTGCCACCTGGCTTTATATGTGGGTGATGGGAACCTGGACCTCAGCCATCATGCTTTCAAGCCCAGAACTTTACCAACTGTGCTGGCTAGTTTTATTCCAACCTGACACAACCTGGAGTCAAGAGAGAGGAGGGAGTCTCAATTGAGAAAATACCTCTATAAGATCAGGCATAGGTAAGCCTGTAGGGCATTTTCTTAAACAGTGACTGGTGGGGGGGGGCAGCCTATTGTGGGTGGTGCCACCCCTGGGCTGGCGGTCCTGGGTTCTGTGAGGTAGCAGATTGAGCAAGCCAGTAAGCAACACTCCTCCATGGCCTCTGCCACTAGGGTCCTGTCCTGCTTGAGTTTCTGTCCTGACTTCCTTTGAGGATGAACAATGATGTGGAAGCCAAATAACCCTTTCCTCTCTAACTTGTTTGGGTCATGGTGTTTCATCACAGCAATTGTAAGCCCCACTAAGACACCAACTAGGCTGTCTCTTCAACCCCTCCCTGTATGGATGCCTCCAGCCTTCCTGCTGGGGATCCCATGTCTGATGCTGTTGTCCCTCATCTCTGCTGCCAATCTGCTGCCAAAATTCTATTTCCGGAATGTAAACCTGAACACTGGCTGGGAACTGTGTCAGCTCATGATTGAGCTACAGGTGTCAAACAGCCTAATTACAGCTCTTCAAACATTGCATTGCTTTAGAGGGTCCCTGCCAAATAATTCCTGACAGTATTTTGTGCTACCTTTAAGGATTTCCTATCAGGGTATTAGTATAAGCAACTTAAAGGCTAAAAGCATGGGTATTTTATTCCGGGCTATTTGATTGTTACTATATAAGAATCTTCCAAGTGTATAGCAGGGATGGTATCCATATCAAACAGAAACACACTCTCACCATTTATTAAATGCTGCAGTTGTTCATAGCTAGAGCCGATAGATTCTAATATTGAGGTCTCTTTTAGTCTAGCTGCTGATCTGCTCTTTGCCAGACTTCATTATGTAACAAAGCCAGTCCACTCAAGCAGGGGAGCATCCCCACTCACTGGTTTACTTATTTCAGGCAAAGCACCCCAGGGAGCCCAAGTCTCTAAAGTGGAGTTTTTATATAAGCTCAAGGTTGGCTGCAGCCATGGCTGTTGGATGACAGTCCTGAGTTTGCTTCCCAGAAAAGGGGCGAATGTGTGGGCATTATGCTGCCCGCAACCAGGGTGTTTTTAAGTTACAGATGCTACCAAAGGTGGTTTGTAACAAACCCACACTGCTCTACAGTTAACATAGTTTATCCCTGAAAACCCTGACATTGTTGGGAGAGTGTGGCTGTACCTGTTCTCTGCACTCATATTTTGGTGATATACACTCTACGATAAAGGACAGTGGGCAGGTGAAATCTTAGGATGTTTTACATTACAGAGAGAGAAAGGGAGGGAGGGACGGAAGTAGAGAGAGAGAGGGAGGGATAGAGAGGCTTAAAGTCTCCTAAAACCTCGGGTTGAACCAGAGAAAGCTAAGCACACCGCAGGCCTGACAGACACGGATACTTTTAGAAGAGTCTCCGGGCAAGCCTCAGATGCCTGCAGTGCCAGCAAGGGAGGCGGGAGGGGTTGAAACCATGGAGATTTGTCTCTTGTCTGGTATCAAGGGCATTCATCTTGCCTCTTCAGCTTTTTTTCATCCTCAAAATGGATGCTTCAAATAGAAAAATACCAGACAATAGTCTCATAAAGCGAAAAGTAGCCAGCAAGTTGCCATGGTTACTGATATGCTTTTCTCTTTCAGATTTCTAAGTAATAACTTGTGCTTTTATATTTGACTTGGCAATTAAAAAGTCAGCCTTTGGTATCAGCACGTTCACTCATAAACCATTACTTTGAATAAAGACTACACATATACAAAGAACCTGGTTTGGTTGTCTAATAGAAATTTGCAATTTAATTATTTTAGTCTGGAGTTTTGCGGTCTGCAAATTTACCACATTGTCAGCAATCAGTAGATTTCTCTTTCTAAATGTATTTGTCTTTTCTTTTTGCTTTGGTTCTCTGGCTCCCTCTCGGTCCCCCACCTCCTCTCCCAGCTGTGTAACGGGGGCTCTGTCACTGAGCTTGTCAAGGGCCTCCTGAGACGTGGTGAGCGGCTGGATGAAGCTGTGATCTCCTACATTCTGTATGGAGCCCTCTTGGTAAGAGCGTCAGTGGTGGAGAGGGGACAATTTGTGCACAGCTTGGCTCCTCATGGCACATTAGCAGAGGGAATTCAATCTGGGGATGGTATGACCTAGTGTGGACTTCGATGAAACTGTTGAATTGGCTTGCTGACAGTTCTGATCTCTCTCTCTCTCTCTCTCCCTCTCTCTCCTGCTGTGGCGCTGGGACACCGTGCAGGGCCTTCAGCATTTGCACCACCATCGAATCATCCACCGGGATGTGAAGGGGAATAACATTCTTCTGACAGCAGAAGGCGGAGTTAAGCTCGTTGACTTTGGTAATGACTGTATCATTTGTTTTCTTGATGTGTGTGGTTTTAGCCCAAGGGGACAATTTATTGCAATCTCTGAAGACTGGGGCCTCTCTGCTGCACCACAGGCTCAGGGACTTTCCAGGCAAACGGGCTGGAGAGTGGGGGGCTTTCCAGATGGATCACCCTCGGAGATGCTCTTTGCTAATTAGTTTTGGCTTTCGAAGCAATTTTATTAAAAACAGAGAATAAAAGTATTGGGAAAAAAAGAACTTTACAAAAAATGGTAATTGAGTTTGTTTGTGTTTTGTTTTCTGTGAAAGTTTCCCACCTCAGGGCAATTGTCTGTAATTTACATTTTTCATCTCTCTTTTGCATATGAAAAGAGAAGGCAGTTTGATTTTTAAAATGGCTTTCTCTAGCCTTGGGCATACTTATTTGCAGTGCACAGAAGGTAAACCGGTCCTCTGGGCCTAGGAGATGGGAAATTCTGACTCCTGTCTCCACACGTGAGGCGGGTTGACCTGCAAGCATCCACAGGAAATGTGGACAGTACCATCTGGGGCCAACACTCTGTTCTGACAGTCCTAAACCAACAAGCCATTTAGTTTTCCTCTGTTTTGGCATATGGAATGGTTTACTCTCCCAAATGAGTTCAAGGGTTAGTTACAAACCATGAGAAACCGTTTAGAACACGTGGAAATGTTGCCAGTGTCACCAGAGTAAAAACAAGATGGTGATTTTTTAGCATTCGCTATTTTACTGGTAAGAAATAATTTGGTATAAGAATGTGTCTGCAAATTATTTGTGTGAAAAGAAGTTGTTTAAGAATAAATGATGCTGGGATTGGAGAGATGGTCGGCCACTAAGAGCATCTGCTGTGGAGGCTCACAGCTGCCTGTAACTCCAGTTCCAGAGGACATAACACTTTCTTCTGGCCTGCTGTCTCTTGCATGCATGCATGTGGTGCACACACACACACACACACACACACACACACACATACACAGAAAGAGAGAGAGAGAGAGAGAGAGATTGACAAAACACTGGCACACACACACACAAAGCAAAAATTTTGAAAATGAAGTTGTTTTAGGTGCGTCGGTCTGTGTTTTAAGAGGCAAATCAAGAAAGGGGGGGGGTAGAGGAAGCGGGTTGTCTGAGGCTGTGCTCCTCTCGCAATAGGAGGAACGATAGAACTGTAACAATGTGTTTTCCATGTGACTCTGAGAGCAAACTATGCCAGAAGAGAGACAGCCTAGAAGGAGGAGGATGGGGCTTCAAACAATTTATCCACTAATCTGCTTTGCAAGCTTCGAGAGAAAAAAAGGTTCCTGAACATCCATCCAGTTGCTGTAAAAGAAATTTCTAGAAATTAAAACCAGAAAGATGTACCTGTTCGTTTACTATATTGTTATGGAGGACTTGGCAAAGTGGGCATTATCTGGAGCCCTGTGACATGGGTATAGTCTCAGCTACTGGGAAGGCTGAGGTGGGAGTTTGAGATCAGCCTGGACAACACAGCAGCGTCCTTGTCTCAAGTGTGGGAGCTGGGAGGTGGCAGCCCTTCCAGGCTTTTTAATGGAAAGAATATGAGTGGTGAATCCTGGAACCTAGGGTCCTCTGCGCATCACGCAGGACCCATGGTCTCTAGGGTGGGTCCATCCATAAGAAGCATACGGTGTTTAGACTTGAGTTCTTGTCTTCAGGTGCAGTAGTACCAATGTTCCTCGTGTTCTTCAGGGCTGTGCAAGACTTCTGCTTAGGACAGAAAAAATACATTATGCTTATAAAGTACATGACACAAGTATTCTCATATTTGGTATTAGAAGACCCTATCTGTAGGTGTGATTGTTGCCATTATCCTAGTCTGAAGATGAGAAAAGTGAGGTTCAAAGATAAGGCCGTCACAACACCAGTAAAAAGCGTAACTGAACTGGAAGGCGACTCTCTGGACTCTCAATCCAGTCAACATTTCCTTCCACTTGATTTGATGGTACAGAGAAGAGAGGGTCATAAAAGGACATTGGGATAATATTAAAATTCAGGTCTTCAACACTGAGCTTTAGATAATAATGCTGTCGATTTCTTTTTCCATTTGAGAAGCATTGCTTCCTTGCCAAGTTCCTAGTCTTGTTGGCTAGATAAGGCCTGAAATCTTTTTGTGTCTGACTGATGCTCTATTACAGATAGCGCTTGCCAATCTTCTTCCTCCAAAAAATCAAGCATTTATTAAAGAAATCATCTGAAATAATTGGGAAGCATAAATTGGAAAATATTTTGGGTTGGTCATATTTGTTGGTATTTTTCCTTATACTCCAAATCGGCAGGAATGTTCCTAAGGAAACACAAGTTCTTCTCAGTTAGATAGGATGATTAAAATGTCATTCGTGGGTTGGCAAAGTACGGTTCACGGGACAAATATGCCCCAACTTCTATTTTTAAGCAGTTCATGACCTAGGAACTGTGTATATGCACATATACAGCTACTGTAGTTTGGGACCAGATCTTGTTATATAGCTCAGGCTGGCCTCAGACTCACTATGCAGTCCAGGCTTGACTTCAACTCTTGATCCTTCCACTTCAGCAGAATCCCAAGTCCTGAGATTGTCGGCATGTGCCACCAGGCTTAGTTTTATTTTTATATTTTTATTGACTGGTAACAACTCAGAATAATACACTGTCATGTGAAAACTGTACTCGATTCAAATTTCAGCATCCATAAATGAAGTTTTAACTAGGTATAGCCAAACTTATTTATTGATGTGCTTTTTTTGTGGCTGCTTTAGTACTCTGGCAGCAGTTAATTGTGACAGGGACCATGACACCTAAAATAGTTACTATTTGGACTTTTATAGAAAACATCACCAGCCTCTATCTATCAAGCACCTTATGCACCCTGCTGAACTCTGTTACCCTTCCCCTGTAGGTGTCTCTGCTCAGCTTACAAGCACACGACTACGGAGAAACACATCAGTTGGGACCCCATTCTGGATGGCCCCTGAGGTAAGTAGGAGCTATCTAGTTCTTTGGACTTGTCGGGTGCCTTGCTGTTGTGCCTTTGTATAGTCAAGACGTATGATCTCTACAGTTTTCAGGAAGAAAGTCCTTTATCCTTACAGAACTCTGAAATCCTCGTGGGTGAGGGATGCTGATAAGACAGTCTCAGAGAATCAGGATTACATCACAGTCAGCCCATAGGGTGCCTTCGTGCCATTAAGAAAAGATAACCCCCTGAGAGAGGCAGCTTCTACAAGGGTGCTGGCTTGGCAAATCCATCTAGCTTTGTCTACGTTAGAAACTGTCCCCTTTTCTAGATAAACCCAGCCCATGCCCTACGGCTTGGTAGCAAGCCTCATTCTATCTCCAAGCAGCCTAGAGAGCCGCTCGCAATGTTCCCCGGATGTTTCTATCGCGTACATAGCAACGTCTCTTGCGTATTGTTAGCTTTCTGCCATAGAACAGAACAGGATTTGGTCCTAATTTAGTTCTGGTCTCAATACAGAGATGAGGCATGCAGAGGTAGGGGGGCTTTTCGCTGGGCAAGGCGTGTGTGAGTCACCCGTGCCGTTTGCTCACCGGGTCAGCATTTCGTTCCTCAATGCTCTGACCTTCACCTGAAAGACGTTCTCTGGGAGAAAGCAAATGGATTCTTTAAATCAGAGGGCATAGGCGGTCACCCCTCCCCCAGACGGCTTCCAGTCTCCAATCTGTCCGCGTGGTCAGTCTTCTGTGTGATAGCCCATGTGGTTTCCTAAGACAGCAGGTAGCTCATTCCAATCTCTGCTCAATTTTCTTCAGTGTTTCCTACCACCTATGGCCTTCCAGATTTTTTTATTTGGGTAACCAAAGAGACTCACTTTTCACAAAAAGAAAACGCTGGCAGATTACAGAATTTACTTATTGTAATGTTACTTAAATAGGTTGAAATGCATGAAGCTGGATCTAAATGATAGGTCACACATTATAGATCTGTAAAAAAGTGTGTAAAAATCACACAGTCAGCGACCTTCAAGATCAGCAGTTTAATGAGACAGATGTTCTTGTTTTGGGTGTTATTTGCGTTCTGCAGGGTGACTGTACCTTAGCACATGGGTTCTTTGAGTTCGGTGCGCCTACCACCGCGTACCACGTGCTGACCTAGCCTCAGCGCAGCCCCCAGCTTAGCTGTGTTTCCGTCCACGTGATCGCTCTATGCAAACAGTACCTCCGCTGACTTCCAGCTGTTGCTTTGTGTAAGCTGGGCACGGTTTCACAGGAGATGTACGTCGACACTCAAGTTACCTGACAAATAATTGCCCAGATGATCCGGAGTGTTTGCATTTGTGGCAATACAAATCCATGAAGTAAAAATGAAGAAAACCACTTCCATACGGACCTTGTGAACCCCACAGGCGAGGATGTGGTCATAGTTCCTTTGGATGCTGAACAGAGCCCTCCTACCACATTCTTTTGGATCCGCCAAGGTCCGTTTTCCATTTCTTTCCCCTAACTCACGTCTTAATTCTCCAACAGCGCTAGTGACGGAGTCCCCTCCCTCATCCCTGGCCCACATTGAGGCTTTACTTATATCTAGGTAGGAGGAGCTTAGCACTGCTGCTTTCACACCCCAGCCCCCCACTGTCACCTTGCGCAGAGCTGCTACGGGCAGGACTCTCAGGGCTTGAAGCTTTGGTGGGGACTTGGATGCTAACTAAGCTCTCCACTCCCCGCTGGCCCAGAGCAGGGGCTCAAAGAATATTTGCTGGATAAATGAACATGTTGGCGGTGAAGTCACAGGGATAAGATAAAGAGGGCACAGTTCAAGATAGAGGAATTGGCGAATTCCTCGCTAGGTTTCAATTGATCTGTCCTGAAAGGGAAGCCTAGCCAGTCACTCGGATGACATAATGTAAAGATCCCAGCAGATCCCTGTTCTGATCCCAGCAGACTGGTTCTTCGAGCCACAGGGAAGGATGCAAAGAGTCCTTCCCCGGACTTTGGGCATTCACTAGATGTTTGTGGCTTCCCAGTTTCTATTGGGCTGAGGAAAGCGCGTGGAATCTTTTTCTAAGACACGGTGAGGAGGCCCACACTGAGCCTCTGTTTTCCAGGTTGCCTGGCCCTGACTCCCTTCTCGGCAGGGAAATCCAATCCCCCATCTTCTGAAAGGTGGGAAGTCTGAGAAGTGGGATCACTCGGGAGCGCGTTTCTACCGGCTCCACGTGGGGTTCTCTTCAGACGCCCGCGCTGGGTCCCAGCCTGCAGTTTTTAGCCTGTATCCCCCTCACGCTTTCATTTTTGAAGCGGAGTATGACTTTTCCCAGCCAAGCTTCACTGTGCTCTGTGACCCTTCGTGTACACCCACAGGAACAGCCTCCTGCGTGTCCTATCAGCATTTATGCTTCCACTGTGAAGAGTGCTTTGGGTCAGCTGCAGGGTTTGAAAAGCCTAATCGGTAACAGTTCAAATTAGCATTGTCTTCATGTGAAGCCTAAATACCATATCGATTGTAATATGCTTTTCCGTCAGTTCCTGTGAGTAAGTGGATTTGAATTAAATGCCTCAACAGTGCCTGTCCTAACAAGGTCGGCGGATTAAGACTTGCAGATGGCTTCTACTTTATATTTAAAATGCAATGGAAAGAGCCCTGATCTTATTTTATTTCTGAGAAATTAAGCCGTTATTTCCTTCCATTTCTACGACACCAGTTTGAGTAACTGTGATATTTAATTCAAATAGGCTGTCCTACCAACCAGGTAGCTAACGGAATGTGACCGGACCACAATCAAACGCTGACGAGCCGTCCAGACTCACAATTCATTCTGGCTGCCAGAAGCTAGTCAACATTCTTCCATTCCTTCTGCTCACTACGATGGGGAGGGTAAATAGGCACTACTGCCATCGCAGAATGTTGGTGAAGGGGAATCAGCCCAGCAATGTGAGGGAGGGAGGATCCCACAAGGTGCTCACACTTTGCAGCAAGCAATACTGCTAGGAAAATAAATTGCTGGGCATAGTAAAAGGGATCGTCTGAACATCAAGGTCAGTAAATACCTAAGTAGCATGCTGTGGCCACAGTAAAGAAAGAAAGAGCCCGGCTTGAGAAAATGCTTTATATGACCTTGAGAAAGATAATTTTGGCAACAGAAAATTGTTTTCATGTGATGGAAGCAGAGGTTGGTGTGTCTAGGGTTTGTGACTTGGTAGCGCAATAACGTCACTAAAGTACAGGGTCCTATTTTTTCCCCCCATGATACTGGGGTGTGAGTCCAGAACTTTCATTCTAGGCAAGTGCTCTACCACCGAGTTACATTCCCAGCTCTGAAACCCCACTTCTCAAAACCTCCTTGGCTAGGGTTGCTGCAGCCTATATGCCTTCCTTATCCAGGGCCTGCCTTGGTGATGGGTGAATGGGCACCGTGTCTGTGATGATAGTGAGGCAGAAGTGGTCTCAGCCCTTCAAAAGACCCAGAGAAAGCACTGAGTGTGGTAAGATCCCATAGAAACTTGCCTTGACGCCAATGCGCCAAGCGTGGGGCCAACTGTGCGCATCTGTAATAAATTCACAGGTTTGCTGTAACCCAGTGGCATGGAGTGGGTAACAGCACAACACCACAGAGAAAGGTCTGCTCTTAGTCTGGAAGGTAGAAATTGAGACTGAGATGTAGAAGCACTCGCTCTCCCTAAAGGCCACCACCCCTTTGTGTCTTTGTGTCTTCCTGACTGCTGGAGCTTAGCTGGCCGTCCTTAGTGTCTTTTTGGCTTGCCGTAGCATGCCAGTAGTCTCTGCTTTTCCTCCAGCATGCCCCTGCCTTCACGTGACTGTCTTCTCATGTGGACCCTGGTTCATGGGTGAAG